CTTTATTTCCCTTGGCTACATCTCTTAGTCTTTCAGAATCAACAGAATGCCTTAAATAAAATGCTATTTACAAGATATCTATGCCCCTGAAATGGACCACAACGTTATATTTAAGTGGCAATTGCAATAAACATTCAGGGAAAACATAGAATTCAGAATATTCAGTAAGATTTCAGAGAACTAATGTTGTCTAGCATCTGTCTGTCTCCCTTTTGCATGCCCCCTTCTTCAACAAAAAAGGGAGACTATCACAAATGAAGGATTTCTCAGTGAAGATATTATAGTAAGCATTGAAAAGGAGCTGAAGTAGAGGTTCCAATAATCTATGGTTAAAAAGAACACGATTCCATTCCACTCTGTTGGACCTACATAAGTCCCATTCTAGTGAGCCGAATATGTACTGTGAGGTACTTAACACCCCATAAGCCCTCTGAAAAAGGAGAAGCTCCAAAGAACTGGTTTGATTAGGATCTTAGTTTCAAGCGTGGATGCACCTTGGCCTCCTAATTTCTAAAACTGAGGTTAATGACTCATACAGTCACATTTCAAAGATATTTCGTTAGTAACTTGTGCTTAATTACAGTTTAGTAATGGTGAAGCTTATTAGTTAAAATTAGGTTATATGACATAAAGGAGATCGTTAAATTCAGAGGGTTCTCAGCTTGTGTCACTGGTCTCCAACAGTATTTGTGAACTCCTGGATCTGGTTTCTATAATTGCTAGTTTTGTGGGCATCTCTCTGTTAGAGAGGATTATGCTTATTTTACATAACATGGAATTTGGAGCTAAAAAATACGTTAAGAATCTTTTTCTTAACTTCATGACCATTGAATGAAAAGAAAAATTTGTTAGCTCTATTTTGTTGTTTTGTGAAACGCATAAAATGGCTATGAAAAGATACGTAGTCTCCAAACATATTTCTTCTAAGCGTTGTAATAGATTTGTTTCATATAAGCCCAACATCAGTCTTCCCCAATGGCAAAGTCAGATTCACCACTGTGTCAAGAAGAAAGTTTTACTGGAAATCACTGTGTTTAATGCGATGTCCGTGTATATTTTTTAAGTTCACAGACCAAAACAGACACATGTCCACCTAAAGCAAATAACTTTCACAGTCTTGCTTGATCCATGTTGACACGAGGCATTGACAGACTGATTCTTTTTTGTTGTTAATTTCTCTATCTTGTTGCTTCTGAGAACAAACAGTCATTACTTTAACAATAGTTCCACTAGTTACCTCTCATCTATGAAGACATGGACCAGCACTTTCTTCCAATCAGCGTCTTCAAGTCTCATTCACCTAAGAATTACAGATTGCAGTTTTATTTATGCTTTCCACTTCATCTCTGCCATTATGCTGTCATTTTTTTTTATATTATTAATGTACAATTACATGAGCAACAATATGGATACTAGACTCCCCCTACTATCAAGTCCCCACTACATACCCCATTACAGTCACTGTCCATCAACGTAGTAAGGTGCTATAGAATCACTACTTCTCTTTGTGTTATACTGCCTTCCCGGTATCCACCCCCAAGCTACAGTATGTGTGCTAATTGTAATATCCCTTTTTCCCCCTTATCCCTCCCTTCCCACCCATCTTCCCCAGTCCCTTTCCCTTTGGTAACTGTTAGTCCATTATTGGGTTCTGTGACTTTGCTGCTGTTTTGTTCCTTCAGTTTTTTTATTTGTTCTTATACTTCACAGATGAGTGAAATCATTTGATACTTGTCTTTCTCCACCTAGCTTATTTCACTGAGCATAATACCCTCTAGCTCCATCCATGTTGTTTCAAATGGTAGGATTTGCTTTCTTCTTATGGATGAATAATACTCCACTGTGTATATGTACCACATCTTCTTTATCCATGCATCTACTGATGGACACTTAGGTTGCTTCCATATCTTGGCTGTTGTAAATAGTGCTGTGATAAACATAGGGGTGAATATGTCTTTTTGAAACTGGGCTCCTGCATTCTTAGGGTAAATTCCTGGATCAAATAGTATTTCAATTTTTAGTTTTTTGAGGAACGTCCATACTGCTTTCCACAATGGTTGAACTAATTTATATTCCCACTAACAGTGTAGGAGGGTTTCCCCTTTCTCCACATCCTCACCAACATTTGTTGTTGTTTGTCTTTTGGATGGTGGCCATCCTTACTGGTGTGAGATGATATCTCATTGTGGTTTTAATTTTCATTTCTCTGATGATTAGCGATGTGGAGCATCTTTTCATGTGCCTGTTGACCATCTGAATTTCTTTTTTGGAGAACTGTCTTTTCAGCTCCTCTGCCCATTTTGTAATTGACTTATTTGTTCTTTGTTTGTTGAGATGCAGGAGCTCTTTATATAATTTGGATGTCAACACCTTATCAAATATGTCATTTATGAATATATTCTCCCATACTGTAGGATGCCTTTTTGTTCTACTGATGGTGTCCTTTGCTATACAGAAGCTTATTAGTTTGATATAGTCCCACTTGTTCATTTTTGCTTTTGTTTCCCTTACCCAGGGAGATATGTTCATAAAGAAGTTGTTTATGTTTATGTTTATGTCCAAGAGATTTTTGCATATGTTTTTTTCTAAGAGTTTTATGGTTTCATGATTTACATTCAGGTCTTTGATCCATTTTGAGTCTACTTTTGTGTATGGGGTTAGACAATAATCTAGTTTCATTTTATTACAAGTATCTGTCCAGTTTTGCCAACACTAGCTCTTGAAGAGGCTGTCATTTCCCAATTGTATATCCATATGGTGTAATTTTTAAGCAGTTTCTTCAAACTCTCCCTGTGTGGGCTATACTTATTTGCATGTTTGTAGGTATCCTCCCTAATGGATACTAATCACCACAAGGACAGGAACCATGCTCTTTGTTTTGTTACCTTTGTGTTACTATATCCAGTCAATAAAATTAAATCTATTCATAAATGGGGTTTTATCATATCATGAATCATTTCAAAGATGCTCTTTAACCAAAGTGGTTCCATGTTGTAATGGTTAACACCCTGGTCTCTGAACTCAGCCATCTGAAGTTCAAAGAACTTGTGTGTTTCACAGCTTTGTTTGAGTGTGTGAGAGATATAAGGGATGCAGTTGGTATGTGCTTGTTGGGTTTTCTGTGTTTTTTGTCTACATAAGCTGTATTAAGCAATTTTATCCCTGATATCTCTCAGCACTTACTATCTGCATCTGGGAGGCTTCAGACAACCTCATCATGTTACATAGGGAGGGAAAAAAGGGTCAACAGTAAATACTTCCACTTAAAATAGCATCAAAAATAATAAAATACTCAGGAATACATTTAACAAAATAAGTATGAAATTACCCTGAAAACTGCAAAACATTGTGGAAATGAATGAAGATCTAAATAATTGGAAAGGTATCACATGTTTGTGGATTTCATCTTAACATCATTAAGATGGCAATTCTACCCCAAACTAATCTATAGATTCGGTGCAATCTCTCTTACAATACCAACTAACGTATTTGTAGAAATTGGTGAGTTGATTCTGAAATTTACATGGAATTTAAAGAGACCCAAGATAATCAGAATAATTTGAAAAGGAAGAAAAAAAGTAAGAGTACTCACACCTTCCAATTTCAAAACTAACTACGGGGTAATGATAATCAAGACTGTGTGGTGCTAATACAAGGATAAGCATAGAGATCAATGGGGTAGAACTGAGAGTCCAAAAATAAAACCATATGTCTATGGGAACTGATTTTTTACAAGGGTGATAAGACCATTCAGTGGGGAACAAATGGTCTGAGGAAAACTAGATACCCACATGCAAAAGAATGATGTTGGACCCTTACCTTAGACAATTTACATAAATTAACTCAAAATGGATCAAAGACATGATAAAAGAGCTAATATTATAAAATTCTTAGAAAGAAACAGAGGTAAATCTTCATTACAGATTTGGAAATGAATTTTTAGATATGATACCAAAGCACAAGCAACAACAAAGAAAAGATAAGTTAGACTTAATCAAAATAAAAAAATGTTGTGCTTCAAAAGACACTATCAAGAAAGTGAAAAAAATACCTAAAAATTGAAAAAACTTTTGCTAAGCATATATCTGATAAGGGACTTGCATCTAGAATATATATAAAGAACTCTTACAACTGAAGAAAAAGACAAATAACCCATTAAAAATGTGCAAAGGACATGCATAGACATTTCTTCAAGACACATATACAAGAGGCCAATAAATGCATGAAAAGATGCTTGATATCATTAAGTCTTCTGGAAGATGCAAATCAAAACCACAATAAGATACCACTTCATGACCACCAGGATGGCTTTAATGATAATGTTGCATAACAACAAATGTTCACAAGGATACAGTGAAATAAGAATCATCATACACTGCTGGTGGGGATGAAAATGGTGCACCCATGTTGTAAGAGTCTGTCAATGGCTCAAACAATTAAACATAGAGTTGTCATATAACCCAGCAATTCCACTATTCCACTTCTAGGTATATAAACAAGATAAAGGAAAACATAGATAAATAATTATAGCAAAAAATTGAATTATTTTGAAGTATATATGTGAAAACTAAAATCTCTCTTCAGTCCTTGTGTTCAGCTATTCAATTTCTATCTACAGCAGCAAATTGAAGCCAGGTCTGGTATAACTTTGCAGAGTTAAAATCTATTCATGTACATAATCTTTAACTGTGTTTTTTTTTCTTAGTTGCTATTACATGTAATTCTACAGTGAATGTTTTAGCGTGTTCCCAGTTGTAGGTATGTATCATGGATCTTTATCAGAGGCTTACAGAGCAGGAATACTACCTATCAGAATAAGGAGTCTTCCCAGTTTTGAGGATAGGGTTATTTGCCGATATGGTGCAACAGTGTGATAGCTATCCAAATAACACAAAAGAATAGGAAACACTGACTACAAATACACTCTGATACATAATAGGATCACGTAAAGAGAGCTAAATGTCAGCACATTATTTACTTTTACACAGCGGTTTTGCTAAGTAGTCGTGGCCGAGTGGTTAAGGCGATGGACTAGAAATCCATTGGGGTTTCCCCCGCGTAGGTTCGAATCCTGCCGACTACGGTATTTCAGTTGTGATTATTTCCTCCGAAGTTAGCGAAAAAGGAAACCCTTTTGGCTACATTTGAAATCCTACAATTTCAAGGCCCAAAAGACACCTGATGATGCTGTGCATCTGGCAAAGTTTTCCGTGTTTATGGTAATGAAATCAACTCACTTGCGATGGAGCTACCTCACGCTGGCCAGGAAAATCAGAATCACCATATTTTCAAGTAGGTTTGACGAATGTTTTCTTTTCCACCAAGAAGAGCCCAAGCTTCAGAGATATCTTGGTGTTAAAATCCTGCATGAAGGCAACACTTTCAAAAAGAATAAAAGTTGATCGGAGTGCTTGCTTCTCCATGGAATTGTTACCTTTTCAGGGATTTCCTTTCTCACATACCAACTGCATCCCTTATATCTCTCACACACTCATTTTCATCAGCCCGTGTGAGGTCGATGTGTTACTCCATGCTTGCTTCGAGCAACTCCGTTTACCGGGTAAGTGCCAGAAGTAAATGCTATCCAAACACAGCAACATCCTTTTGCTTCCACACGACTGGAAATCCAAGTCTAATACAAAGCAGTAATCAACTGATACAACGTTTATTTTCTTTTATATTAAGCATTTTAATTTTTAAAATATTTAAAAAATAACAATAATGATATGAAGCTCAAGTGATATTGAGGTATATGTAATGAATAAAATCTCTATTCTATCCATGTGCTTTAGTTTCTCAGTTTCTGCCCACAGTGAAATGAGTTTTTGTATAACATATAATACAATTGTATGTATGATACCCAGTCCACTCTTTACTCTTAACTGAATGGTAACATATACAGTGTTTTTCTGATTATTTTTTTCTCTTAAAAAATATATATTGACCCATGTAAATATGCCCATTTTTGACAAAAGTGAAAAAAAAATTCAAAGGAGGAGGGATAGCCTTTTCAACCAATGGAGGTGGAGCAATTAGGGCATCCATAGGCAAGTACAACAACAAAAACAAGAACAAAAATCCACATTGACCCAAGCCTTATTCCGTATACATAAATTAACTTATAATGAATTGCAGACTGAAAAGTAAAATGTAAAACTGTAAACTTTTAGAAAATAACTTAGAAGATCTTCAGAATCCAGGGTCAGGCAAAGTCATTTGACTTGATACCAAAAGCCCAATTTTAACAAGAAAATTGATAAATTGAACCTCATGAAAATAAAAAACTCTTACTCTGCAAAAAAAAAAAAAAAACGCTAGTAAGAGATTGAAAAAAAGAGCTTCAAATTGGGAGAAAATATTTGCCAACGACATATCTGACAAAGGACAACATTGACCACTTTTGCCTGATAAATCGTAGGGCATGCTTAGAAGAAGGGGGAAGAAAGGTAGTGGGGTTCGAGAACCAAGAAGGAATGCTTAGGAAAGGAGCTTTGGCTGAGGAAGAACGCGAGGCACGAAAAGCTTTAAAAGGCTTGATCCGATTTGGGTCTGGAAAGCTGACATTTAGCCATCTTTACTCCCTAGTCAAAGGGGATGACCGGCAGCCTCGTGAAGAAAGGATTGAAGATCTGTGAACGCAGCAAACTAAAGGTTGTGTAGCAGTAACATTCAGGAAATGACGTGGATTGTAGGGTGGGAAACACGGTGAGTAAGATTCAAGGATGATAGACTCTTGCACAGTGGAAGCGTGCCGGGTCCCCATAACCCAGAGGTTGATGAATCGAAACCATCTCCTGCTAGGATTACGTTTAACGGTCTCCGGCATAAGAGAGACTTCTCTGCTTCATTCATCAATCCAAACGCGCCCACAAAGCCGCAATCTTAGTTAATGCATGAATAAATAACGGACCACCCCCACCCCGCCACGAAAACAAAACCTAGGAACCATACTTGCTTAACCTCTCGTTCTCCGCATTTTCGCTTCTCCAGCTACGTTCAAAGCTCACAGAATAATGGAAAACAGCCCTCAACCTCACTTCTACTCCCCGTCAACTGCCTACTTTCTCCCTGCTTGCTTAACTCTCATTTAGAGGTGCTCAAACACGTATGATGATTCAAAGCCCTAGCGGAACCATGGCCACACTCGGTATTTCTTCGACTGCCGGGTCGTTCCGGTCTTTGAATGGGATGGAGTCAAGCTGTGGAAAAAGAGTATTAGAGAAAGACCTGGAATAATGGGGAAAATCTCTGCGTGTTGGGTGGAGGCAGACGGTGGATTGCTGCTATTTACACCTTATCCTAGAAAGGAGATGGAGGAGAAAGTGTCCAATTGGGAAATTTTACGTAACAGCGGGAGAAGGGGAAGAAACAAGGATCAGAGAGAAGGAAAAAAAGGAGAGGCGAGAAAGGAGATGGACAGCTGGTGGACAAAGAGAAGACATAGGAGAGAGCAGGAAAGGAGGAGTACGTGAGTGGAAAAGCAGGAAAAAGAAGGAAAAAGCACAATATTTGAGCGAAGTGGGGATTGAGGGATATGGTCCTCGCCGACTGAAGCAACCCACAAAAGTAACTTCAACCTCGGTTTTTCTGGTGAGGGGAGGACGAGGGGACACGTGAGACTTGAATCAAGGACTTCGTGACTTGCAATCACATGCCTAAGGGCCTCACGCAAATTCTTTACCTTCAGTTCTCATAGTCAGCTTGACACTACTCCTTCCTCAAACGGCCAAATTTCGCCCCACAACAAATTTTCGTATGATTCGGGTCTGGTGTGTTTCTCCTGACTCCGGGGAAGGTAAAACGACCCTCTTCAAGCACTTAATTCCAGTAATAAACCCTCTAAATCAATCTCACCCTACTTGCCCATCCCGACTTTGATCTATGTTGACCCTGCACTTTTGCTTATTTGTCCTCAAAAATTCAGAAATTAACATGATCGACTCAGACAGAAGAGCTCAGCTGCCACTGACTCCCCGAGCCCAAAGGCTCTGGGTAGAATAAGGAATCACCAAGACTTAGGAGAAATCCCTATAGTGCCTCACTTCATGGACCGCTCACTTCATGGAGCAGCAAACTTTTAATCTGTGGGTCTAGGATTCAATTTCCTGTGTTTCTCCTTTTGATTTCAAGCTTACCAGATATGATCCACCACCCTGGAGGATCGCTGCCCCATTAGAGAATTTCTGGGGATCCATTAAGTGAAGAAAAATAAGAAGTACAACTTGCAGATCTACTTACAGTTACATCAGTCACACTGTTTTGGAGTTTAGCTGATTTTCATTTAATATTCCCTGGAGAGAATGCCAACAAATTAACCCACCCTAGATTGTTTGTGAAGAACAATCATGCAATGGCTCCCCTCCCCTTCCCTCCATTTTCCTTTCCTTCCTTCCTTCCTTCCTTCCTTCCTTCCTTCCTTCCTTCCTTCCTTCCTTCCTTCCTTCCCTTTCCTTCATGTCCCATATTGAATCTCTAAGACTGCAGAGACTAGAAAAACAAGCAAATAAGGCAGTTACTTACAAAGCAATACTTTGGAATGATGTTACTATTCCCTGCTGTCATGGTCTCAGTTAGCTCATCCTAAAAATTCTATGCTTCTATAAGATGACTAGGAAAACATTGTGCAGTATCTCTGTTTGTTGAAAATCAAAACGTTTAATGAAAAGCATCCAAAGTTTAAGTTCATTGATTGCAGACAAGTTTAAATATGGAATATGATTTTTTTAAACCCACTAATTCCAACAAGAGAATTCCCAGAGCTCCATTACATGACTGAAAAACAAAAGCAAAAACAAAATAAATAGACAACAAAAACCACAAACAAAAAACCCTTTGCAGATATTTGTAACTGAGTGTTTACTATAATCTGGAATCTGTTCTTGGACCTGGAGATATCATAGAGACCAGAACAGACAAGTAGAGTTGGAAAACCTGTGTTGGAAGCAGAAGAATGTAGATAATCACTGTGACAGGAGAGGTGATGCCCAAATCAGCCATATCTTCATGTGGCAGGGAATGTTAACAAGACCTGAGTCTTTCTAAACTTACAGAAAGAAAAAAGTGCTTGCCACCAGACTCCTAGAAATGCTTCCACCCCATGGGGAGCATAAAAGCTTGAAATACTATACTTCCATTTCAGGCTTTATCAAGGGTTCTTTTCTCACATAATTTGGAACATAGTTCTTTCTTCAGAACAATGTTCTTGCCTCCTATTGCTTATTCAAAGCTCTGTTGTAAGAAAGTTTCCTTGGTACAAGAAACAGTAGAAGATACATCAAGGACTGATTTCATTATTGCTATATCAATGACAAGGTGAAGGCTGGAGAAAGGATCAATTCTAGATTGTCAACTTGAAGGGCTGTGGGGAGAGACGAATGGCTTTTGAAAAAAAATAATCACAGATATTAGAATTTGAACTTATCAAGATAGCTTCCGTAGTCATGGTACAAAGTTGATTTTATTGCATTGAAGATTTCTAACACTATGGAAGCAGATATTCCCAAGTATTGAACCTGCTGTTAATATTCAGTAAAATCCTGTGCTGCATGGAGAACTGTGTGCTCTGTGACTTAATGAAAAGAGTCCACTGGATTAACAAGCAATTGTCATTGTCCCCTCTCCCTAACAGCTCCTTAGGGCACTATGGTCCAGTTGCCCATTTGGAGGGAGACAGTAGAAAGACAGCCTGATTAGTAGGATTTTTAAAAAGCTGATGTCAAACAAAGAATTTGAACCACTCCTCCCCGCAGCCTCAAGGAGAAAATATATAAGGATCACTTTTAACATTACCTTCAGCTTATAGTGAATTCTAAACTTAATTCAATTCAACACACTTATAGTGAGCACCTTCTTTAAGACAGGCCTTTGTACCAGGCTCTGAGCTCTCTGTAACCAATATATAAACATGTATGATCTAGTAAATCAAGTAAACATTCTATATCTCGCATGAGTACAGACAAAGAAAAACACGGGGGGAATTTTTCCAGTGGAAATTTAAAAACTAGAGCTTGCAATGTAAGAAATATGATTTCCCCTCCCTCAGTAAATAAACTGCCACTTCAGACCCAATAATAACTAGTGGCC